CCTAACATGCATGAACTTTGGGATCAGATGATATGACTTTGAGCCTTGACTCTCCAAGCGTATGAATTTGAGGAAGTTGCTTTATTTCTCTGAGTTTCAGTTTGACAACACCTCACCTATATTTTGTGAGGATTAATGTCACAGAATAAGGGAAATGTCAAGGTATGTGCCAAAGCACCGAGGTACACATCTTTAGACTACCATTCCTCCCTCTGCTCTGTGACTCTGGCATCGCATAGCTTCTTCTCCAGTCAATTCCGTGAACTTGCTCCTCCACAACTCACAAAGCTCCCCTGCTGTCCCATCCCTCCATCTGTTCTCACGTTCCAACCCATGTCTGTGCTTTTCTTGCTGTTAGCCTCTTGAGGCTACCTGGCTACATATTCCTTATCCCTCCTGCTTGAGCACCAGCCCTCCCTTTTCCACAAAGACTGCTCAAACTGGTGCAGTAGCTAGAGCATGTGCTCCCTCCCTCCTCTGAACTCTCCACCTCTCAATAGCATCTTCTCAGTGATGAATCACATTCAGCCTTGGCACACCCGTTAGTGCTGGTGTCACCAGGGATTTGTGTCTGCATTCCACCTGCGTAAGTTTCTTAAAAGCTGAAAATAAATTGCATCCTGTACCTGTGCATAGTATCCCACATGTGGTAGTTATCTGAAAATATGAACTTATCAGAGGCAAATTAGGTTGGGGTGGCTTTAGGAGTATGATTTCCAGGCCATATACTTCAGGGCATAGAGAGTAATAGAGTGTCAAAACTCTGCAGGCCCAAAGCTATAGCAGGCAGTGAACATGAAGGACGTACAGCTTGAAATCTTTGTAAATTCTAAAATTTAAGATGTCAGCAAAGCTGGTAATTCCCCATATAAAATGCACTTTTATTCTAACCAGGGAACTTGCTGACCTGATTTGATGAGTAACATTTTCTTTTTTTTTTTTTCATTTTCTTATTTTTATATGGAAGAAAAGAGGTACGTCAAGGTGGCTTGGATCAAACCACTGCCACGTTGGATGCCCTATTTTCAATGTCTCCCACTCCTACCTTTCCAACAACATTACCATTTTAGATCTCTCCCTCCCTCCCTTTCCCATCCCCCCACTTCCAGCACCTGTTCTAACTGCTGCCTTTCTTGGGTATGGTAGTTTCTCTTTCTTTCTTTCTTTCTTTCTTTCTTTCTTTCTTTCTTTCTTTCTTTCTTCTTTCTTTCTTTCTTCTTTTTTTCTTCTTCTTTCTTCTCTTTCTTTCTTTCTTTCTTTCTAATTGTATGTTTTGTTATGATTTTTAACAATTTTTAATATAACTTTATGATTTCGGAAGAGGTATAGGGTGATGAAAAGTAGTGAACCATTCCAGTTATCTATTTGCTAGTAAGCCATTTGCAGTTGTGGCTCAAACACAATGATTTATTACTATTATTACTATCATCATCATCCTCATCATCTTTTGTGGCCTGGGGGTTGACTGGGCTCAGGTGAGTGGTTCTGGTGCAGTTTCTGTCAGAGGGTAGCTGCTACCCAATTCATCTGAAGGCTCCACCAGGCTGGCTGGTGTCAGAGATCCCTGCCAGAACTCTCTGCCAAGCTGTCTACATCTGGCCTCCTCTTTTGTGGTTTCCACTAGGTTCCCAAAGGAAGCATGCATCCCAGGAGGCCCAGTGGGGAGGTGCATTTCTGTGACCCCACCTCAGAAATCCCAGATAAATTCCATTCTATCCTATTGGTCAAGCAAGCCACCAAGTCCAATCTAGTTTCAAGAAGATGGAAATTAGATTTTACCTTTTGACATGTGAGCCATATACCATATCAGGCGTAAACAAAAAGAAAGTGGCCTCCTTCCTGTCTAGCACCATCACAGGATGTACACCAGGACTGGCTAGATTTCAGCCATTCCAGCACACTGGCCACCTGAAACAAGACTCAGGCGTGTTTCTCAGGAACATTGCAGATGCCTGTGTTGTGGACCTGCACAGTGGCTAGCGGAATTGTTTAGTGGGAATTGCTAAGTCAAAAAGGGCCAAGAGCCTCCCCAACTGTTGAAGGGGCATCAACTCTTACAGCCCCAGGCTCTTCGGCAGATGCTGACCGTCTGTGTGTCAATCATCTTTGGAAATTATCCACAAAGCTGAAAGCATACTGAATCCTGTGTCATCCTTTTAAGGAAACACCATGAGGAACTCAATTTGACTAGAAAACTTCCTTTACCCAATTGTTGCTTGCCATCACTGAGATGTTTATGATCTTATCGCTCTTCTAATTTAAGAAATTGTTTATTCATAATTAGACACATTTCCCAAGTACCTTTTTGTCCTTTTAACTTTTTCCTTCCTAAGGGAGCCAGTTTGTAGTCTCTGCTGTGTCTGCCTGGCCAAAGCTTTGCTTCCGTATTTCATTTCGGGGAGGGGGTGGGGGGTCCTCCGGCCAAAACATCCAGCAGTTGGGACAAATCGTCCCCGGTCAGCTCGGACCTCACCCATCATCTTCATACCACGGCAGACAGAGCCCCACAATCGAACACAATTCCTTATGGACAGGATATCCATTTGCCAAACTGCAATTGGACTTTGTTCTCAATAAACTTTCAGTTACTGTCAAGATTGTTTCTATGGCCTGCATAACCCCATACTGCATTTCTTGCTTTTGTGTAGCTCACAATGTCTATGCAAATGAGCAACACAATTTTAAATTTGAAGAAGATCACGTGAGGGTGAGACTCCACGGGGTTTTTGATAAGGGCCAGTTTCTAGAGAGATGAACACAAAATGGGCCTGAGCTGTCTAAGGACGCCGTATCATTTGGATTTGCTCCGACATACGGAAGGAATACTGGGCAAGGAGCACAGCACGCACCGTGCAGGCCAGTGAGTTCCCCGGGCGGCGGCCTGAGAGCTGGAGTGGTTGAAGGAGAAGGTGGCAGGCCGGGCCCGAGCTGCTCAGCGGCCGCACCTAATGCTCTGCTGATCCGTGTCTCCTCGGGGGCAGAAGAGGAGGCCAGGGGAGGAGGCCAGGCTCCGGAGGCTCCTCTCACCTTGGCCTCCCTGCGCTCTGCTTCTGAAAGGGGCCCCGTGCGCTGGCCACAGGTGCACAAGGCCGCTTTCCCGGTTCCTGGCTCTTTGCAGGGAGGGGGCATTCTTAGCACAGTCAGATCTGTTTTTTTTCCCTTTCTTTTCCTTTTCTTTTTTTTCTTTTTCTTTCTTTCTTTTTTTTTTTTTTTAAGGCAGACCAGGTCCAGGGCTGTAATCGCTACCAAAGAGCTTGCTTTCCCACCTGCCTGCTGAACCAGACCATCAAAGGAGATGTTAGTGGGGTGGCAAGGACAGGATACATGCATTCCTCAGGTCCCCAGGGGGCCTGCATCTTCCCCTGTGTGGGTTTTGGGGCCCCCCAGTCTGCAGCCCTTCCAGCAGCTTCCACCCACCGCAAGAAGCAGAACCTCAGAGGTGGAGGAGGTGGTGAAGAGGGGGGATGATGATGAAGTGAGGGAGGGCAGACGCGGACAGAGGTGTTCCCCTTTTCTCTGCACCCAACCCTCTGCCTGCCACAGGGCAGGGGAGATGGGGGAAGTCACACGGAGGTGTTTCCCTCAAACAGAACAGGGGACAGGGCACCCTGCATCCATAGACACTGTGAGCTCTATCAAAGAGCAATATCTCAGGATTAGTACAGAGGAGGGATTTTCATTCAAAAGGACTCTTGTCAGGTAGGAACCATGACGTGGGGATCCCTGTGACCACAAGTTCTGTGAGTGGCTCAGGATCACACAGAAAAAGACTTTTCTTCCATAGGCTAAGGGGAAAAAAAAACATAATAAGCAGATTGTTGGGGGAGGGGGTGGAGCTGGACGAAGGGAATGAGCAGTTTTGCCAGGAAAAGACCTGCTGCGGCTGGCCAGTCCCCAAGGGAAGCCACCAAGGGGACAGGCTTCATGTTTCATGCTCGCCCAGGCACTGGGACAGTCAGGGTTGGGGTCCAGAGGAAGGTATGAGGGCTGACGAGCATCTGTGCAGGCAGTGCAGGGTGAAGACCGAGTGGCTGTGGGTGCCCAGGGAGCTCAGGGAGGAAGCAGAGATGCAGGCTCCATGGGCCTGGCTGTGCCAGCTGCCCCGGGCCTGGGTGCTATGGATCTTTGGGTCCCTTGGCTATAAAGCCTTTGGTATTTCCTAAGACTAGATTCACAGCAACACACTGTATGATGATCAACATCTTTAACACCTTTATGGTTCCAGATCTCTTTCTCCTTTTTCCTTTTTTTTTTTTCTGTTTTTTAAATCACTTGCACCTAAAAATGAGTTCCCCAGTGAATCATCAGTTGTTACATCTAACATCAGGGCACTCAAATCTGTCACCTGCCATCTCATAAAGATCACTTGCCCAGCTTTTAGGGACTTGTATTTTTTACCTCCAATCACATAATAATAGTTAATAATTGTCGAGAGCATGCTCTCTATGCTTGAGCACTGTTCTCACTGCTTCACAGTGACGGACCCTGTATTTCTCAGGATATGCTGAGGCAAGAACCACGTGGCCGTTATCTTACAGAGGAAGGAACTGTGGCAGCCCCACAGGGTCAGAAGCCTATCTGTGGGTGCACAGATTTTGGGGGAAATCCAGGCACAGGGGCTCCAGGGGCTGCCCTAACCACGGTCTCATGTACCTGCTCCAAACATGTCCACGCGGTTTGCAAAGTGTCCTCATTCATGGGAAATGATTAGGCAAAGGAGTGAGAAGATTTGAGCACAAATCATTGCCACGAGTAGAAAAGCAGCTCAAAGTCACTCTGAGGAGCACTGCCACCCAGAATTCTGGCCTCTGCTCAGCTCCCCCATGGGTGTGACTCCACTTCCAGGGAGTCATATGATTATTTTATACCCTACAGGATATATATAGTTAATCTTCTGCATTTGGACAAATAGGCGTTACTTTTAAGTAGGAAGTGGTAGTTCAGCAATTTGCGTCTGGCCAATTCTAGTCTCTCACTGCTTTTTTCTTAATGACTATCAGAAATTGCATCTTGTAAAGAGAATCACAGTGGTGACGTGAAGCATCCCCAGGAGGAGCACAGCAGGACAACTCCCGTTGGATCACCACGTTTCTAAGGTGAGCATGGCCCAGCCCCTCGCTTCTTTCACAAGCATCTTCATTTCTGGGATACCCTTGTCCAAGGGGATGTCAGAAGTGGAGGTGCTTGACTCTCAGGAATTCCAGAATGCAGGCCTGATGAATGCACTTGATAAAACAGTCTTGCTTTTGCAAAGACATTGTCCTTCTGGTTTTAGGAACAGGACTGTGCTTTCAAGAATCTCGCTTTTCCTCCCAGTGTGCAGTGAGTGATTTTATCCTCACCATCTTGCACTAGAGCTTGGGGGATGGTTTTTGGGCATTGTCTCTTCATACAGTTAAATACCCACAGGGCAGTGGTCTTGAGTGAAATGCAATCATTTATTTAACTAAGTATACAGAATATTTGAAAAGCTAAAAACTAGGCTGAGAAATGTTTTGAAACCAACGCAAAAAATGGTCTTGTGCAATGGTAGATAGCGAGTGCGCATCTTGAGTAGCTGGGGGTTGAATGGGAAGGAGCTTGTAAGGTGTTATTTAAGAGAAATTGATGAGGTGGAGATTTTTATGAGACTCAGGGCAATACAGAAAATGCTCTGATAATGGTTGCAAATGCCATAATGACCAGGATCTCATGGCCACAAAAGAAGACGTAATTATCTTAAGAGAGTCTGCAGTAGATTTTCCCCAAAGCAGGAACAGAGGTTGTGGAAATTAGTATCTTCAAGAGATAAATGCAAAGTCTGAATTAAAAATATGATTTCTGCAAACAAAAATAGAAAATGTAAAAGTGAGCTTCCAAAGAAGCAATAAAAACCAAGAGAAAAAAAAAATTTACAAACCTATATACAAATCACTGGAAAAAACCTTCTGGCTTCTCTCTTAACTGCTCTTATTCGAAAGCAGAAGGAAGCCAGCCTAGAGTTTCAGCTTGGCTGATGTATAGCTAAAAAAGGATAAAACACTGTGGGCCCATAATTCAAATGAACTGAGAAAACATCCATTTATTGAATGCCTGCCGTGGCAGTATAAGAGACTCTGTTATCGATTATAAGGTTTTAATATGTGTATGTTATTTACGATCCTCTGGGAATTCACAGCTGCTTCGGAAAGATCCTATGGTGACAAAGTGAATTAGGATGGTAAGAGCGAACAGTCCTCTAGTCTTCCATCTGTGAAATGGGTAGAGCGTCTACTGTAAGGGGTTTTTGTTAAGAGAGATAACAGATGTCAAGTAGCAACCTCGGTGTCCAGGAGGCAATGACAGCTTAATTTACAGCACACCCCCACAATGCTCTCACACACGAGTGCATGCACACACACATATATGCACACACCAATATACACACAAGCACATTTGCACACAACATACACACACACCACACACATTCATACAACACACACACACAGCAATACATGCAGGCATTGATACACACATAACCTATTTAAAAAAAATGAAATGAACATCTGGTACACATAAACGTATTCACACAGGTGTATATGCACACATGACACACATGCACACTCATATTTGTTCTTGTTCAGAATAGGGTTGTCATTTTTTATGAAAGTAAGCACAGATCTAAAATCCTCTGCTTTCATTTAATTTTTAACAAACTGCTAAACTTGTTATCAACTTTAGAATTTTAACTGTTTTCCTTGCTGATAGTACTTTGGTAAGTCTTCTTAATGTTTTTGGCATACTTGGTTTTCTTGGGTAGAATCTGTTATTGGCCAAAGGACAAACGATTGAAGTTGGTCTGTTGGCCACCCCTTCTGCTTTCTCAGCACCTTGTCTCTTCTCTAGGGGCTCCTACTTCCCTCTTGCTGCCCCTTTGGCTGACGCCACCCACTCCAGGTCCCGGCAGAGCACAGCTGGCCTGAGCCTGGATCAGTTAACTCTTCCCGGCTAGGACCCTTGCTCCTAAGAACTTGAAATGTTTCTCATCTGCCTCTGGTCAAGACTGAAGAATTCCCAAAGCCCTCAGAATTCAGAAACAGAGGTGCTGAACCCGCTTGCATTTGGGGTGAATGGACCACAGTCTGGCTTCTCCTAAACTGTAGAGGGTGGGCTGGCACCCTTTCCATGGTTTCCTAGGCTGGGTCTGGTTTTTAGGGCATGTATTACCAGATGTTCATTTCATTTTTTTTAAAGGAGTTATTTATTTATTTGAGAGACAGAGAGAGTGTGGAGGGGAGGGGCAGAATGAGAGAGACAGAGAGACAGACAGACAGACAGACAGGATTTCAGGCTGACTTTGCACTGAGTACTGAGCCTGACATGGGGCTTGATCCCATGACCCCGAGATCATGACCTGAGCTGAAACCAAGAGTTGGGTACCCAACCAACTGAGCCACTCTGGTGCTCCTGTTCATTTCATTTTTGAATGACTCAATTGATAAGCTGTTAGTTTCTGAGACTCTTTTGCCTGTGGTATCTAAGAAAAATTGTATTAGGAAATCACATTATTTCATTGCAATAAAAGTATAAGTGAACATTTTAAACACTATTTTAAAAGTGTCACTCTAAGTAATATTCATTTTTTTCTTAAAAGTAATGCTTTTATTTATGTGTGGCAACAACATCTTTGAAATGTTAACGAAAAGCAGGGTGTTCACATTTACCACATGTGCACATGTAATCTTGGGGTTTGGCACATTTGCTTTTCCTTTAGAAGCCTAATATGTTCATATGGCTTCAAACTTTATTTATTGTTTTTTAAGATTTTATTTATTTATTTATGACAGACACAGAGAGAGGGGTAGAGACACAGGCAGGGGGAGAAGCCAGTTCCCCTCAGCCTGATGCAAGACTTGGTCCCAGGACCCCGGAATTATGACCTGAGCCAAAGGCAGATGTTCAATCACTGAGTCATCCAGGTGCCCAGCTTCAAACCTTAAATGCAAAAGTCACAAGAGATTTAACATCATTAATGTGCCCCTAAAACAGGAAGGGAGCCCACGAAGGCATGATTGGACTTTCATTTCCAAGCATGCCTGCTATGAGAAGAGAATCACTCAGGAGTTAGTTGCAGGCCTGCATCCTTCTGTTTCCCGTCATTTCTGAGTGATTAGGTACATGCCAGGCTAGGCACTGAGCACACCAGCATGCGTGACTTCATCTTAAGATGGGTTACCCACTCACCTCGGGGCACCCTTGCATGCTGGCCCTGACCGGGACTGAGCTATCACAGGGAACAGTGTCTGCACCTGGCACCTAGCCCTCTCTTGAGATGAATGAATTAATGGATATCTCCTCTGGGTCAGCTTTTCTAGAAGTGTTTTCCAAAGAACACTGGCTCTTATTCTGTGGGTGAATGGATCTGGGAAGTTGGGATTGCTCAAGCAAGCAGGGCTCTGAAGAGCCACTGTTAAGAAACTGCTGTGTCAGTATCCAAGAGGAGGATGCGGTAATGGCATTTCTCAAACATATGTAACCACGGAGCAATATCCCTCCCTTTTTTCTACCCAGAGCCTTCCTAGAAACTCACTTTTAAATGCTGGTCTATACCGATGCTCTGGGATTTGCTCAGGACAGCAGTTTCCACACATGAATGTGGGCCACAGTAATGTGGACAGTGTGTGGACTCCAAGAGCTGAGTGGTCAGAGCAGATGCACACAGGACCTACACATCTCACTTGATATCAGACCTGTCTGAGGATTCAGAAGACGCAGGCGGGCACCAGGCACAGGGAAACATACCTCCCCTGGAGGAGCCCCAAACCACAAGACAGGGTTCACTGCCAGTGGGTTTTAGTTACAAATTAACACGAAGTGTTGTGGAGAGTGTATGTGAGAACGTTGTTCTCAAAGGTCCCCAGTTTATACCCACCCATCATAAAAGTAGAAGATCCCTGGGTGCCTAATTCCTATCCGACAGTGGCCAGCGCTCCCACTCCATAAAATCCAGTTTATATGCAGTTGATTGTGGGTGCATAGGTATAGTCTGCTGAAAAGCATGGTTAGACATTTACATAGGGACCTTCAGGTTTCCGTCCCACAGCAAATGCCATTAGCATCTTTCCAAGGAGGGCTGGTCCAGGGTTGAGGGTCCCTTGGGCCCCAGCTGGGAGGAGGGATGTGCAGCCTCCTGGTAAGCCTTCGTTTCCAAAGGGCTCTATTGTTAGAAATTCTGGTTCAGTGGGTCTGATCCACCTCACAGCCACATTTTCAGTAAAGACTCATCTACCCGTGCTTGACAGAGAAGCCTCTCCCAAGGGGAGGGGAGCCGGTGCCATTCTTGCTAAACGGTCCACTTGTTCTTCTGCTGTTAGGTCACAATCTGTCTATGTAAATTCTGCTCATGGGAGTGTAAGACTAGACCCTTCTTCACATGATAAACCTTGCAGGTTAGTTGATGACCTCATTCCTTCCTGACTTTCATTCTTTTTTAGGCAAGATGACTGGAAGTTGGATGCAAAGTGAGTAGGTGGTGGCTTCTCCACCTGGCCCTTGGACCTCACCTGATTCCAGTTGCTCATGTTTCCCATAGTACAATCAACATTACTGAGTACGTCTGACCAGAGCAGAGTCAGTGGAACTACCATCTATCTCATTCTAAACCTTATGGTTTTACTGATTTAGCCTAAAAAGAAAGCAAGTTAATTTTGACAGGATGCATTTACCGAGCGCTGTTTGAGTTTTGCATTGCTGTCATAACAAAGTCAGCGGCTTCAATGACACAGACCGAGTGCCCTACAGCTCTGTAGGTCAGAAGTCCAGGCAGGTCTTGACCAGGCTGGAATGGGGGCTTTGGCAGGGCTGCGTTCCTTTTAGAGTTTCTGAAGGAGGATCCGTCTCCTTGCTCAAATTGTGGCCAGAATTCAGCTCTGGGGCTGTCGGGCTGAGATTCCCACTTTTCATGTTGGCTGTCTGTGGGGGCCATTCCCAGCTCGCAGAGGCCACCCACTGCTTGGTCTTCAAAGCAATGATGGACTGAATCCTTCCATGCTTCGACTCTCTTCCCTTCCCTCCTCCATCTCGGCTGGGAAAGATCCCCCACTTGTAAGGACTTGGAGCTACACTAGACCCACCCGGA